TGACGCTGCTGAAGACGTGTCACCTGAAAAGCCACTGTTGAGGAAGAACTCTACCCGGTTTTGAGAAGTGAAACAGTGAAGCCCTTAATGAAGTTAATACCATTGATGTGACTGTTACCGATAATAGAATATTTCCTGATGGAGCAGATGAATCCCACGTGAAGCAGAAGCCTACGAGACAGAGACCAGTACGGAAGAAGGAAGAAGACACGTCCCATAAAATTAAGATACTTTGTTGAATTTTCATTTTTGTTTGTAAATTCGGTACATTTAATTACGTTATTGTTAATTATCTATTGGTTTAATGTAAGTGGCTATTGTTCAGGACGAACAATACTGTTCAACAATACGTCTCTCTCTGTCCGGAGTTCAATAACCCATTGTTGCCGTCAAGTCTTGACCGTCTTATATTTACAAGAATACCGAAATCTAGTAAACGCTCGAGCATTCACGAACCTTCGAGAATATGACGTGTTACTAGCGTCACGTGACCTCCGCTGTCGTAAAAATACTAAGGAATTGGCAGTTTTACGACAGCGGAAGTCACGTAACGCTGGTAACACGTTATGAGTTTCTAGAAGGAAACTCTATTTTAGTATATAAGCCCGGCAAATAAAGCGGAGGTATAATTGGCAGGTAAACAGATATAGAGACAGACAAGTTAGTCAAACGAGCGGTAGTGACCATAAGTAAAGTCGTGAATCGTTGTGAATTACAGCCTGTGTTTAAGTGAAAGTGACTGTGGAAATTCTGTGTATTGAAAAGTTGTATTGAGAAAGAATAAACTAGTTTTATATTAGGAAGGACTTGTGTCGCTGAAGTTCTTCGGGAAGAATTTACACCGGAAATTAACAAACGAGCAGAGACGTAACAGTACTGATTCTCATGCAAAAGATGTCCCCCCTTCAAGAATATGCAGGGAAATAAATGGCCCACAATAACTCAACTCCTTAAATTTTACTATAAATATATAGCTTTTAGAAAGAAGTTGGCATGTGTGCCATCTCTTCCCTCATTTTTTATCGATGAAACCAACTTTGGATGAGGCTAAATGGTATTGATTTTTGTAGAAGTGATTTTCCCCTTCAAGAATATGCAGAGAAATAAGTAGCGCAAAGTAATTTATCCCTTAAATTTCACAATAAATACATAGCTTTTAGAAAAAAGTTGGCCTATGTGCCATCTTTGTCCTCTTTTTAAAATATGAAACCAACTTTGCCCCAGACTAAATATTGCTATTTTTTGTAGAGGATGTGTTCTCCTTGAATAATATCTATTGAAAAAAATGGCCCACCAACTTTGGCCTAGGTTAAGTGTTGCTAGTTTTTGTATAGGATATGTCCCCCTTGAAGAATGTCCAGAGAAAAACGTGGCCCACCAACTTTGGCCCAGGCTAAATGTTGCTGGTTTTTGTGGAGGATATATCCCTCTTGAATAATGTGCAGAGAAAAAAGTGGCACAAAATAATTAAACTCTTAAATTCGCAGGTTGTTGATGAGTCTCAACAAATTTGAATAAGATGCTGTACGAATAAGAAGCTTCAGCCACATAATTTCGCGTGTTTTGATTGGTTCACACAACGAGAAATTTGTAAAACTTTACGTAAGCGGTGAATTTGATGAGGCCTATAGTAAGCGTTAACCTTTTAAATTAACTAACTCACATGATACTGAAATGGGTGTCTTTGTCTTTTAGTTTCGTAGATTATGTTTATTTCTTCAAGTTAATATTCTATTGTTTGTATTTAGTTGACATACTTTATATATGTATCCCGTAACAAGTTTGTTTTTACTTGATCGTTGATGGTAAGACTAAAGTAAATTAGGCCTCACTGCAGCACGTAATCTATATTATTCATTATTATTATTATATCGTATTAGTTACTTATTACGTTATTATCAAATTAGGTACGTTTAGCAGAATTTGTAGTTATACAATTTATAAGTTTCTGTTGCGATTTCTGTGTTAAACTTCGTTACTAGTAACTAAGTAAGTTAAGGTTAACCGTTACTGTTACGGTGTTAGTGTTATTAAAAATAGTTCCAAAGCAGCACCAAATTAGTTTCTTGGATATTGTTTTAATAGTTTTAGCCGTATTGAGTATGTTTGGATATTTGCAGTTGGTTGGATGAATTGGTAAGTTGAACAATTATGACTAGCCTATAGGTTAAATTATCTTCAAGTTTACCTGTACTATGTTGAAGGTAATGAATATTGCCTATTGTAATTTGGAAATTGGATCAAATGTTTAATAACATAACATATACGCAATGCCATATAAAATTAAAATTTAAGGAAAGTAAGGAACCCATTGAAGAAAATTATTTTGGTATAACTGTGGGTAAATCACTCAAGCAATTAAAGCAGTGCTGTGTTGTATCAAACTTAAAGCTAATATAAGTGTAGAGAGTACATATAGATACATTAAAAAGAAGTTAAATATCTATACAGATCATTAGATAGGCCTCACCTGAAATACTATGTACTGTTTTGGACTCTGTGTCAGAAAGAATACTGACTTATTCTAGTGATGGAAAGATTATCTTATAAAGACAGGTTAAGATTTCTCAGCTCATTTTCTCATGAAAAAAAAGGGTAAGACTAAGAGATGATCTTATTGATGGCTGTGAATAAAAAAAAATGGCCCCTTGTCTGAATGTTATCTTGATTATGTTATCCAGGTTAAGTAGTTAGCACACAAGATCACCTAAAAAAGTTGTAATATTTTCAAAATGAGACCAAAAACTCGAGCGCTTTTGAAAAGTTGAGTATACTTCTTCAGAAGAAGAAAAGTCAACTTTTCAAAAGTGCTCGAGTTTTGGGTCTCATTTTGATTATGTTGTAACTGCTTTTCAAACTTAATAATTTTTTGTTTAGTTTACTTTAGGCTCTTTTTGCTATGGTATTACTATTGGTAGTTTTATTTTTGTCTATAGTGCTATAGCACCATACAACAAAACAGTCTTAGAATAATTATAATGTATGTTAATTATGTTTAAGCTTTTAGACCAACTAAATAAAAAATGGATATGTGGAGCAATAATTAAATAGCTTTTTATTGTAATTTTGAACTTTTCCTCGGTTATCACCATGAAGCAAGCTGAGAAATGTCTAAATCAAATGTGATGATGTTTCTGACCAATCCTAACATTGGGAGGTAAGAAAAAATTTTAGACATTAAATTTTCCAATGTAGAAACACACACACACACACATATATATGTTCATGCTTTTTAATTTACATGATGTTTTAATCTTTCTGTGGCTGATTTAATGAGCATAATGTCCTGTAGTCATTTTATATCAGTAACTTTAATTATTTGTTCTAGTATGGTTGGGTATTTGTATAACAAATAAATCTTTGACATATGAAAATAAAATTGGAAAAAATTTTGTTTATAATGGAGTGTATTATTTTGCTTAAGCCATAAAAATCTATTTGTGCCCTATGTTATTTGCCCTATAATAAGAACACAAACTTCATACACATTTAGTTTTTAAATAAACTGTACCAGTAAGACCTTTTTCGTGGGTTCAGTGTTGTTTTTCATGTAGTTTTAAAAAACAATTATATTTATTTCACATTGTAATAGACAACTGGTAGAGCAGTTTGTGTGTATAACTATAATGAGAGAAGGGAAATTTACAATTGTAAACAGTTATGGTTGTAAAGTTTCATGCCAAAAACCACTTAGGGAAAGTATAAGTGAACCGTCTTGTTTAAAAATGTTATGAAATTCTACACGAATAGTGTTTTACCATTTTTGTTTTTATTAAGTAACATTTAACTTGTTCTGTTGGGCTTTTTGGCAGTTAGAACACCATATTGTAGGATTTCCCAGATTGAATTATGTTTTATGTAAAACAAAATTTAAACAGGGTGTTATTATGTTTAAGTTAATATATTAATTGATAAAACAGCACTATTGTCAATTATGGCTCACCACTTATGTGCACGAGTGTAGTAGTAAGTGGATAGATTTTTCATTGTGTGATCATTTGGAAAGAAAATTTTAATTCAGAAAACTTTTGGAAGATAAATTAGTATCTTCTCTCTAGGCCAAAAAAAAGTTTCCAGTCTCCTGATGGACACAATTTTTTCAATGTGACTTACAAGAGATTCCATTGGCAGTTCCTAAAAAAAGATTTCTTTGAAGTAAAAAAAAGTCTAAAGACAGATTATATATAATTCTAGAAAACATTACTAATTGAGACCAATTTTTAAATGACATTATAAAGAAATTAAAAATGCTGGTGATATGATTTATCTATATAAGAAAAAACAAACCTACCTACTAAATTTACCCTATGCCACGACTGTACCTGAAACATCCTATTTTATGGCTTGATTGTTATCAGACATAGAAGTTTTAATTAACAAAAACAAAGGACCCCAGCAAAAAAATCTGTATGTAACAATTATTCCATGGCTTTATATAGCTAATGAAATAGAAAGAAATTTGTTATGCATGAACTATAATATATCCATGTTCATTTCCAGAGAAAAAACAGTGTATTGTAGGAGTCTGTAAGTATGCATTTTGGAGGTTGTAGAGGCTATGCAAATTACAAACTGTATGATGGACAAAGGTATTTCTATTCTTAACGACAACATCATCTTGTACTCAGAATTGTCAATCTAAGTCGACTTGACTTTGCCATTTTACAGACATATCTTTAGTATAAAAATTTGAGTAGTAACGCATCTGATTTTGTGTGTACAACAAACTTTGTAATGTTGACCAGATGTTTGCCTGTGAATTGAAACTTCAAAAAAGTTATTTTGGTTTAATGACAGATTTTCTATAATTCAGCTATGCAGATTTCGAAAATAAAATTAATTTTTTACAAATTGGGAAGAAAAAATTCTTACTTAGATCAAATTATTATTTCATTTACCATAACGAACATTTATTTATTATTATGTTTATTAACAAAAATACAAAGAAACTGAAGAAAAGGGAAGAACATTGTCAAACTAACATGCATCCTCATTAATCCTAATCTACATCTTTTAGTCTCAAAACTGTGTGTTGTGGTCTTTCTTTTATGTATTTCATTAGGACGATTTGTGAAAAATCTGCACGTGATGGAGAAAAATGGATATCATTTTCAGATTCAGGAATTACTATGGAACATGTAAAAATTTCAAGACAATAAAACTATCGCAGGCCTCTGAAGTTAATGTTTATGATTATTCCAACTATAGAAATAATTGAAATATTACCATTTTGATTTCTTCTTATTTTTGATTAGTTGTTTACTGTCATGACTGATAAAGATAATCAACTTATTGAAATTAATATTTGTAATTACTCTAACTGTTTGAGACTTGTGATATTAATTGATTAGTTGAATGTTATTGAATAGTTAGTTCGATGATCAATCGATTAGCAAATTCCACTAATTGCTCTGCTCTGAAGATGAGTATTCATTTCCTATGCTGTTTAGTGCAACTGACTGTAAAGTCAAGCTGTTGTTACTGTTGTTATTCTTCTAGATAAAATTCAAAGAGTGTCACTTCCTTTTTTAATTCTTTATACAGATTGAAAGATAATTGATTCATTATAAACCAGAGTTTCAGTACCTGTTTCTTTCAAAATCATAGTTAGGTTTTAGTTGAAGAGTTTTTAACCCATAATTGTTCTGAAAATACATTACAGTATTAAATGTATTTCATATTGAATCAAATTAATCCAAACATAGTAATATCTTTTTATGCTTTTTATTTCAAATAGAACTATTTTTTCTGTAGTGAAGTAAAACTTAAAGCTTTTCAGCTGTGAAAACTAATTTGGTTTTTATTGTTTTGTTGATGTATAATAGCATTCTCCTTTGCTTTCACTCATGGGTTCTCAGAATTTTATACTTTTAACATGTCCAGTGCTGTATGAATTGCACGTTGATGTTAGCATACTTTGTGGTTGTAAACATTAAGTGTAAAAAGCATGTGGGCAGCCCATGGGCTTAGTCATTGGGTTTGACTTTACACTCTTTACAGAGTAATTTATATGGATTTTAGGTTGTGTTTTGAGAATGTTTATGTGCGGAATAAAGAACTCGCACAGAGACAACTAATTACAAATCAAATATCTTTTTTATTTATATGCTGTTGAACAGTTCATTTATATCACAACTCTCCAAGTTCTTTTGTGATAACCCAATTCCAAGTCATTGAGTTCTTCATTCTGAAAGTCTAGGTGTTCTTTAATGAACCCTTCTATTACATTCAATAACGTAGATTCAATATTAATTAAGTATCGATTAAGTTAACATGAGAAATTCTCTTGGTCATAATCTGTATAACTGTATTAACAATTCTTCTACGATATCTTTAATTAATTCCACTTTAAGCATTTTTAAGTCTACTATTTCTTTAGTACAGTTAATGTTCATCATTCTTCACTTTTTTTACATTATTGAACCTTAAGTGACACACTGTTAGACTAGATCAAAAATAGCATACTTACAAGGTGTGGCAAACTTCTTGTATATTCTGGATTACTACCATTTTCTTCTGGAGTTGGATAAGTGTGAAGAAGCTTGTGAAATCATAGTAGTGCCATTTAGAGTTGGAAACACAGAATTATATACACAATTATTAGTTTTTCATATTGTTCAAGAAGTTTAGCAGATCTACTTTTAAAAGTAGTTCTCCTAACTCGATTGATACAAGTGGGATCTTCCAGCACAATTGGACTATTCCATCAGACTGTAAATCCACTTTATTATTGGTCCTTACAGAACTTATTTCTGTCCCTTATATAATATCTTTGGCAAAATCATCCAAGACAATTAACTTAGGGCGTATAGAGACAAACCGTGTAATGGGGAATTCTTCATCAGCAGTATCTCACCTTTCTCTGTCATCGCAGTTATGTTAACTGCTTTCTTTGTGTGGCATTAACCTGATTTCATTGTGCATTTTATCTAACTATTGGAATTTTCTCAACACACCATGTCCACAAGCTGTGAACTCTCACCTCATGGTTACAACTGGAATGTTGCTTTCAGCTTACTCCCGCTATGGCCTCAAGTCTGTATCCTCCCTATCTGGTATAGCATTTCACAAGTTACTGCCAACACTTTCTCATAACATTTTTGCTTTGTCATTTTTTCTATACTGTACCTATATACGTTTTAAAAATAAAGATGTACTTCTTGAAAACCTTCATATATTTAATATACATTTAACCTATTTGTTACAGAAGGGAGGTATTCTTGAAAAAGCTTCTGTAGTGCAAAATTTCATAACTCTAATCTTATTTTTCCATTGACTCCCATGTTATAAGTGTAGATGTATTCTTACTGAAATTTTTTTGATCCACAAAAGTAATAAAAACACACATATGAATGTAAGAAAATTTTTTAAATGCGTGTTAAATGTAATTGACATAATTTAATAGTTTTAATCACCAGAAATAATAGTAAGTACACAAAAATAATTCAATTTTACATATGTATGGGGAGGGAGTCTCGGTACTAGTACTGACATCTGCCTCATCCTGTAAGTCATGATCATCTTTTGACTAATAATGTGTCAAGAGTTGTTTCTCCTGCATCTTCTCCTTGTAGCAGTGCATGACATCATGTAGTCTTCTTGTAACTTTTTGGCTGTATTCATGGTGGGATCGTCAGCACTAAGGATTTGCACTTCTTCTACGAGGGCAAATGATTGGGATAAGTGGTTGGTAGTCAACTGAAGTTGTGTGGGTGGTGTTTCAATGATGTCCTCCTCTTCTGCAGCTCGCTCTTGTTCCAACATTATCAGATCCTCATTCGACATATCTTCTCCATGGGGCTTTAATAATTCAACCCTATCATCTTTGACAATATCTTCAAAACCAGCCTGTCTTGGTGAACTTTCTTGGGGGAACCCTATAAAGTCGTTGATACACACTGGCCATACGTTTTTCCACACACTGTTTATTGTTCCCTCCTTCACTTCATCCCATGACTTGGTGATGTTGTCTATTGCATCCATAAAGTTATATTTCTTCCACAAATCATGAACTGTTGGCTTATCCTCTCCATCAGTAGCTTTAATCAATTGTTTCAGAGTTCTTCATAAGTAATATCTCTTGAAATGGAGATAACTCCTTGATCCATTGACTGGAGTAGTGCTGTTGTGTTCTTGGGAATGTACTCAACTCTTACATTATCAGAAAGATCATTCAAGTTCATAGGGTGGCTTGCTGCATTGTCTAAGATGACCAATGCTTTGTTGGCAATATTATGTTTGACACAGTACTTTCCAACAGCAGGACAGAAGAAATTGATGAATCAGTCTTAAAAAATACTTATAGTCAGGGCTTTTTTTGAGACAGTACACACTGCTACAGTGTTCTGGCAATATTTTTCATATTGCAAAATGGAGAGAAAGGTGACAGAACTTGAAAGAATAATGTAAATGAATTTTCCCCTTTGAACAAATCTTTTGTTCACAAGAAGACCAAAAAAGACATCTAATTAGAAGTGTTACAAAAGGAGTGTGAAAACATAGTGTTTGTTTGATCATGTATGTGTGATCATCATTGCAGTATGAGGTATGAAGCATCTGGTAGGATTAGTGTGCCATTAATAGGAAGCATCAATGGTCACCTGGTTTTAACACCTACAAGACGTGGCTGCTATCAGTGGCCTCACTTTGATTGGCAGGTTTCAGTTGGGCAGTGGCAGGTGAGATCCAGCCTGGGTGGACACAATACTGAGTTCAAAGAGACCACTTGGGACTGGGAAACAAGTGACCACAAGTCGAGTTGACTGTTATGCGGGTCTGGACTGTACATTTGTTCAAGTAAAATAAGTTACAAAGTGGGCAAAGATGATTGATGTCATTAATCACACAGCACCTTCTCAGCCAAAATAAAAAATATACATGTGAGTCTCTAGAATAAGTCATTTTGACATGCTCAGTTGAGATGGTGATGCCATTTTGAGTGGGTTTGTGTTTCTCTTCTACTCTGCTTTGATTTTATTGTGACTGGGAGTATATCGTTTTTATTACATCTTGAGAAAACACCCCAATGTAAAAATGATTTAAATTACAAGTTTCTTTTTACCTTCTGTGAATAAGAAAGCTATAATAAGTGAAGAAGTGACCCAAGAACATGAATTAATGGCATCAGTGACAGTTTCTGTTCATGGTCCATCCGGTGTCAAAGAGCTATCTGATAACAACTGGCTTAACTGCTGGGCTGTTGATTGGCTGAATTTTAGAAATAAGAAATTTTGTTGTAAACGTTGCAATAAAATTGGAACTTGTGGAGTAGAAACGAAGGCAGGAATGAAAGTTTCTAAAGAATGGGCAACAATGAAATAACTTGTTTTGGTGAAAGTCGACAGCAACGGCTTTTGTTTTTGTGGAAAAAAACTTTTCAATCACAAGGAAACCATGGGACATAAAGCTGTGGTAAAATTGTTGGCTGAAGTTGAGAAAGAGACCATTGAGTGAAGAAACTGATGAAAGACAAATTTCCTTCTGTAATTGTGTGGCACTGTGCTAATCACAGATTAGAACTGTTGGTTGGTGACAATGTAAAATTAGTGTCAGGATCAATAGATTTAAAGCATTTGATGAACTTTATGTCTTGTATCACGCATCACCTAAAAATAGCTGAGAACTGAGTGTGTGTGTGCGAACTTGCTGGAGATTCAACTTTTAAAAATTTGATAAATTTTAAGCACTCAATGGGTGGCATCTAGTTTTTGGTCAGTTTCAACTGTTTGGGAAAACTATGAAGCGTTAGTGTAACATTTCGAAGAAGCAAAGCATGATTCAACAAGAGACAAAAAAGAGCAATGTGCATATGAAGGCTTACAGCAAGAAGTTACAAGCACAGCATTTCTATTGGATCTAGGATTGATGTGTAATGCTCTTCAAGAACGTTGGACTTACAAAAGCACGAGATAGAATTGTTCAAGGTGCATCAAAACATAAAAGCTCTTGTACAAATTTTTGAAGAAAGACGAATGATTCCAGTCCCATAATATAAAAATGCCGACAAAGCCGACAAAAAATCTTTACTTCCGGGGAGTTTCACTTCACAATAAAGATTGCAAAAAGGATTCTCTGATTAATCCAGAAGCTTTTTACAGAACGTTAAAAAAATCGGTTGAAAGTAGGTTGCTTGATAGTAAAGATGGCAATATAGCACAGTGTGCATGTGTGCTTGATAAAAAAAACAAAAAACATTGGCCTGAAAATGTTGATGCTCATTTAACATTCAGTGAGGTGGAGGTCAGAACATTATCAATAAGACTTCAGCTAAATGAAAGAGATATGATTCGTGGATTTCATCAGTATTTGATCAAAAAGATGGTTCCGTCAAAATTGCAACATTTGAAACACGCTCTGAGTACTATTTCCATTTCTTCCAGTGAATGTGAATGATGGTTTTCGCAGATGAATTTGATTGGCACCCAAACCAGAGCTTCGTTGATGACAAAAGCTGTTTCGGCACTTTTGTTTATTAAACTTGTTGAACTGCCTTTTCCACGCTTTGACCCCAAAAAATACGTAGAGTCATGGCTGCTCCATAAATGTCATTCAGCAGTAGGCACCAAAAGCAAGAAATGAAGTCGGAATATTGTGTCCGATGAGAACATGATGAAAATTTGGAATTTTCTGTAAAAAAGGTAATTCAGTATGTTTTCATCTCTTAATTTCTTGTGTGTGTATATATATATATATATATATATATATATATATATATATATAGTATAGTAGTA